CTTGCACATAGTGAGATGATATACTGAACAATAAATTAAGCTTACAGTTGCTATATTTTAGGTAAAGCCAAGAGACCCTAGAAGCCCATAAATATTTGGAAATAAAGAACCAGGAATTCAAATGAGAAACATCTGAACGTACCCATCCCCCTCGCACACACAGCAGGCAAAATTAGTGACAAAAAAGGGCATAGCGGAGAGAGAAGAGTCGGGAACACTGAGGCCTGAGTGGCACGTGTGGTTAGAGTGAGTGGAAGAAGAGCAGGCATTGGAGACGAGAGAGGCAGGAAGGAGGCTGTCCGTAGAGCAGATGCTAGGCCTGTGAGGAAAGCTCCAGACTTCAGACTCGATTCTGGTGGGAAGCAAAGAGCAGGCCAGCTCAGCAGTGGTCAGGTGGAGTCTTTGTTGTTATCGTTCTTAGGGACAAACCTGGATAACTGAGTGAGACCCACCACGCTCCTTCCCCTGACTAGGAACCCGCTTCAGACGAATCCATCAGCGGGAAGTGATTGCAGCTCACTTTGTCTCACTGTGACCACCACTGCAAAGCCTCCTGTTGCCTGCTCTTTCTGCTACTAAAACCACTGCCCATCCCAGTAGCAGCCCAGGAACTGCCCGCTGTTCCTCTGAAGCAGAGCTATGACTCCCTCTACTTCTCTCAGATTCACTCAGACACTAAGGGGTTCTGAGTACTCTATGCTCAGTATTAAAATGCAGACTTTGCAAGTGTACTTAGGTTTCATTAGTGTGTAGCAGATGCTTCCCCATTGTAGTCAGCAGTTGTTAGACCCTTAAACAGCCATCCAGACAATGACAGACATGACACTAGTACTGTCACCAAGAACAAGGGAAGACACCCCAGAGATAAGAGACCACATAAATTGCCCATAAGAAGCCATGGCTAGTCAGCTAATCCACTGCCCAGCTCCTCTGTCATCCAGTCGGTTCTCTCAGGAGTCTTCTGTGTGTACCAGACACACCAGGCTCTGAGCTGGAGACAGTCATCCCAAGGACATGCCTCAACCCTCAGAGACAGCCTGCCAAGAGATGCACTTCTGACAACCTGTGCATCCATCACGTTTCAAGCTATAACGACTGGAAAACAGGCTGCGTGGCAGCTCGGAGCTGGGAGACCTGCCCAAGTGTTATTGATCAGGCGGAGTCTTTAAGCAAGTAGCACTCAGACCAAGAACAGGGCAGGGGTAGCCTCAGGGTGACCACAGGTTGTTGTTTTTCTCTCTGAGAGTTGCCTCCTTCCAACTCTCTAAACTCTCTAACTTGAAGTGAAGCTCTAACTCCAGCTCCCAGCAGGGTCCCTTGTGGGGCTGTGTACCCTGTTGCTCAGTGTCCTGCATAGCCATATACAAAGAGACCAGGAGAAACCAACTGCCTAGCATCACACTCTCAGAGCCAACTGTAGGACCAGTAACTTTGTACCCTCTGGAGGGAGGAAGCTAAAACAGAGCAAAGAAGTGTCAAGAAGAGTAGGAAGCTAAGCATTGATTACTTCTTTTCAGTGATAGCTTGTCCTTGCTTCAATTAAACTTTTGTCTCAGAAAACACTCATTTTCTTTTTTAAACAAACTAAAACCACACCTTTAATGCTGCCAAGGCAGAGGCTGGTGGATCTCTTGAGTTCAAGAGCATCCTGGTGTACATTGTGACTTTCAGAATAGCAACCTTGTCTCAAAAAAGAAAAGAAGAAACAAAATTTCTGTTGGAGCTGGAGGGATGGCTCATGGTTCAGGCTCCAGAAGACCTGAGTTCAGTTCCAGTACCCAAGTCAAGTGGCTTTACAACCTCCTGTAACTCAAACGCCACATGACTCCACAGTCCCCTTCAGCCTCAGAGGGCACCTGCACACAAGTATGTAGACTTACACAAAAATAAAGTAAATATTTTTTTTAAGTTTCTGATGAGGGTAGCTACTAAAAATATGGACAAAGCCATTCTTTAATTTTTATCCTTTTAAATACCTGTTGCTTGGTATGAAAAATATTTTATGTCTTATAAAGCAATGATGCAAAATAACTATGTAAGTCCCCTCTAACCCGTCAGAACACATACCTACTAATGACCTCCTGTCGAAACCCATCAGATTATAAAGACTGTGTTCTCTTACGTAAAAGTTTACAGATCTTTTTTGTCATTGTTTTGTTTTTGTTTTTCAAGACGTGATTTCTCCGTGTAACTGCCTGGCTATCATAGAACTCACTCTGTAGACCAGGCTGGTCTAGAACTCGCAGAGATCCACCAGCCTCTGCCTCCCGGGTACTGAGATTAAAGACATGTGCCACCACTGCCTGGTTTAATATCTTTATTGTACCCTTATAAAATGAGAAAATGATAAGTCAGATTAGTATAGCTGGCTGATGCATTTAGTTTTTAAAACCTGAAATCTTACAAATTTTTACTCAGAAAATCCCAGTGAAAGCCACGTTACTGCATCTGTAATCCCAGTGAAAACTACGTGTTACTGCACCTGTAATCCCAGCCCTCACACAGCAGAGGCAGGGAGGACCAGGAGTTGATGGTCACACCTTCAGCTACATGAGACTGTTTCATAGAAGGGAGACCAAAAAGGCTGTCTAAATTGTTCATAGTTTCCTGCCAGGACCCCACCCACTGAGCAGTGTTGCATGAGTCCGAGGAGGACCCAGGGATTAATTTCCTGCCGTTTATGGTACAGGATTTCTCTGCCAGAGAGAAATCTAAAGTCCCATTGTACTTGAGATGTCAGATTGTAAAGCCGTGGAGTTGCTATAAACGAGGATGTGTTTAACATCCAAGAATTCCAGCTGGGGTTTGGTCCTGGGCAATCCGCCCTTGACACTGAGGGAAGCCTGTCACCCTGACCCCAGTGGCTTGGAGTTGAAGCTGCATAAGACAGAATGCCAAGGACAGAAAGCTGTGTGAAGAATGCTTTTAATGAAATTTTAAAACAAAATGACTGCTCAGAGAATCCCAGATCGTACAGGCACTCACCATCACTTAAGGGAAGAGAGAAACAAACCCACTTTAAATGGAATGCATACAAGTGGAAGAGAGTGACACAGATACCTTCCTGCTCCGGTGTTAGGGTGAGGTGCCACGGAGGGAAATCGTAGGACTTCACACTGGCATACAAGACACGGAGAAGAAAACTACATTGCTGGGAAATGCCAGGGTGTCTTCGTTAACATTGTTATGGTATACTGTATTTAAAACAAAAATTTAATTCTCTAATTTATCACGTCTGGCTATTAAAACCTCCATAATTTAAAGATTTTTTTAATCATTTGCCACTTTTGCATGTAGTGACTTTTCGTAGATGACAGTTCTGATTTTTATCAACCTGTGTGTGCTTTTCAGCAGCTCGTAAGCATCATCAGTACGGCTGAAGCTTGCTACCATTTGCATAACAAATGTAAACTCCTTGTATGTTTTCCTCTGGTCTGTTCAAGAACTGCCCAGAACTGCTTTATAGTTGCTGACCCTACATGAAAACGCAGGCGGCTAGGTCCATCTTAATCTGTCCACATCCTTCTAACGACATGACGAGAAGGGCGGGCTGTGCCTTTTCTTTAGATGTGGAAAAAGAGGATTCTCCTAATGGTCAGAGACACTTGAAAGATGTAGTCCTACTGCCTTTGAGATGAGTTTAATGTGTGCGTGTGTGTGTGCGTGTGCGTGTGTTCATTTGCATAAGAGTGCCCCCCACCCTGTAGGCTCATGTATTTGAATGCTTAGCCATCAGACTCATAAGCTGTCATCAAGGCATGCCCTGTCTAAAAGTGTTCCTCACTTGAGCCTGGTAGGAAAAAGGAAGGAGGAGAGTGATCACACAGTGCAGAATAAAAACGTCCCAGAAATAAAGATGGCCACCGTGGAGAGAACGGGTGGGAGGAAGCGAGCAGTCAGCCACAGGCAGGATCGTGTCCCCACGGCAAGTGTGAGAAACAGGAAACATGGCCCCTTTCAGTGTAGTGTGCAGGCTCTATCCATTCGCTCCATCCTGGGGAAGCTGGAACTTCTATGGATTCGTGGCACCTCATAAGACCTATCTATGACCTTATATACCAGAGGACACCGGAGAACAGAGTGATGATCTAATTCTGTGTGTATTTATTGAAATATAGCATTATTTGAGAGATATATGGGTGTATTCATCTGTGCATACATATTGTCTTAGGCACTGTCCTGTTGCTGTGACAGACACCATGACCAAGGCAACTCCTATAAAGGAAAGCATTTCATTGCAGATGGCTTACAGTTCAGAGGTTTAGTCCATTGTCATCATGGTGGGAAGCATGGGGCCGTGCAGTCAGACATGGTGCTGCAGAGGGAGCTGAGAGTTCCACATCCCGATCCACAGGCAGCAGGAAGAGAGCCACCTGTCTGCCTTGTGCTTCTGAAACCTCAAAACCCAGTGTCACACTCAATAAGGCCACACCTACCCCAGCAAGGCCACGCCTCCTAATCTTTCTAATCTAAGTACTGCCACTCCCTGCTGAATAAGCATTTAAATGCACAAACCTCTGGGGGCCATTCTTGTTCAAATCAAAATACACAAACACACACACACACACACACACACACACACACACAC